CTATCTGAAGATAAATAGACAAATATCCTCAGGTGAGGATTAAAAAAAAGTCTTTAGGCACACATAAATTTCAATGCATAAAATTTTGTTTGATCTAAGACCACAAGAATAGCTATATCTTCTGCCGTGTATGTGAGAGCAAATGGGAGAGTGCATTTATAAAATATAGATCATATGCCCAGCCGGTGTGGCTAGTGGTTGAGCTTTGACCCATGCACCAAGAGGTAGCCAGTCTATTCCTGGTTAGGGCACAAGCCCAGATTGTGGGCCTGATCCCCAGTGGGGGGCGTGCAGGAGGCGGCCAATTGATCTCTCTCATCAATATTTCTCTTTTTTCCCTCTTCCTTCCTCTCTCTCTTAAATCAATAAAGAAAAAATATTTTTAAATAAGATATAGATCATAAAGTATTCTAATAAGGAGAATCTTTCATATTTCACTTTGAACCAATAGTAATATGGAAATGACATCTTTCTAATCAGAATTGATAGGAACTAGCAGATGAAAATGTTATATTTTCCATCAGTGTTGACAAATGAAGTAATCACAGATGAAATCTTTTATTAACATGGGACTGATAGAAAACTAGATAATTATTAAATTTTTTTAATTAGCAAATAATAAATCACTGTATAATATCAGAATGATGATATCCTTGACTTGGTCTGTAAAGCATTATAAAAATAATACAAACGTTGTATCATAAATCTTTTAAACGGACCACATAGGTAAGTTAATCACAATTCAACTTAACCACATGTGGACAACGCAAAAAAGTTTCACTGTAATTTTATAGTGTCTTTGTATCTTAGAAATTTGGTACTCAATAAAGAAAAACAAATAAAAAAATACAAAAGAAATTTGGTACTCATATACATAAAGCGAGATTTTTTAGATTAATAATATCTGCCAACTAATAGAATACTTTCCGCCACATTTAGTTATCCCCTACACTTTTAGATTAATACATGGACATTTCATATGACTTTATATTTCACTATGATTTAAGTTGTCATAAGAACCTTCACTCTATTAACAGTTTGATGCAGTGGATATTTAAAATAAGTTTTTTTTTGTTTTTTTTTTTTTTTAATGCTGTAGGTTCATTTTAGGATACAATTCCCATTCATCAGATACATTTAGGAAATATAGCTCTATTCAGGAAATGACAAAGAAAGCAAGAGACAAGAGTAATTCATCCTAAGATGCATTTTTACATCTGCAGTATGAAATCAGGTCACTGGGACTGTTTTTCTCTATACACATATATGTAAAGTCTAGTCATAATTGTTTACTCATAGAATTGACAAAAATAAAGAAGGTTGATGCAAAGAAAAGAACTTAAAATAAGAACAGGCATTTGCAACAGACAATCCAACCCACACCAACCTCTGTGGAAGGCAAAATCCAGTAACCATTTATGAATATTCTGGTAGAGTGATCCTCCTGCTTTTTCTTTGGATGTCACTTCTCTCTCTCATGGGGCTGGGGGCACCATCTTGCTAGCAGGCTACACCAGTGGCTCATTCAGAAATAAGTTTGCAATTCTTTTAATATTGTTTGACTTTTATAAATGCGTAATGCAGGAAAATAGAGGCTTACTGTTCTCTGTAACACACACATTTGACAAGTCATTTCTTACCTCTGAGATTGTTAGGGGGAAGGAATAGAGAATGATTTGAGGAGTCAAGATGAATCATAGTGGAAGATTTCTTTTACTCAGCTTGCCATCATACTGTGCATTTCTTTTATCTATTTAAAAATAATCTTGTGACCCCCCAAGTAATAGTCTACTCTCAGTCACGCACATAGCTTCTCTTTACTACCATTTTTCTCACTTAGTGTTATTCTCACTTAGAGGTGATTTTGACTTGTTAGAGTGGACAAATTAAGGTACTACCAGGGTAACAGGTTAGTTTTAATCTTTAAATATGGCCCAAATGGAGTACATGTGTGTTTGTGACTATGTGTACCTTGAGTATATCTATGTTAAAATTTATTATAACTTATCAACAACATCTTACTCAGTCTTGAATGGAGAGCTCTTCTGTGGTAAGTTCAAGAAAAATTGCTTGAGAAATTTTGGGGAGATTACTGTCCTTTTATATTTGTCAGTAACGTTCTGGCAGTAGCTTTGGACTGCTTAAACAAACAGTAACAAGTAATGTTAATCTGCAAAGATTTCCTTATAGGTTTACTTTTATTAAATTTTATTTTGTTTTTCTAACTTTGGAAGCAATGAGCAAGGCGCAATTGTGTTAAGGTTTCAGATAAATTTTCTAGGATTTGTGGCAATGTGTGTTGGTTTGTTCTGTAATAACTAAATGACCACAGTGTAACTCTCAGATTGTTTAACTGAGATAACAAAATGCTTGAAAGGTTACTAATCTATGTCTATGTTCCTGAATATATTTTATCTACATATAGATAAATTTATTCAGATTAAAAAATGTGGAAATATTATGGTTTAAAAATATGCAAAATGAGAGCTAACCAAATACTTTATAATAAAACATTTAATGCTATTATGATGTAAATTACATTTCATACCAGAGAAATCCATTATCTGACATAGTAACATACTAACTTAAACAAGTTTTGAGCTTTTTTTCTATGACAGTTATGCCATCTATAAAATTATTCCTATTTTTCCTTCCATCTCTTTGGTATGTTATGAATATAAAATATTCTAAGAATTTTTAAAGGAATAAAATTAACATGTCTATTTAAAGCATTTAAAAGTAGAACAATATGTATTTTTGAGGTTATTTTAAATATTCCCAGCAAAAACTAAAGGGATAAAACAGAAGTTAGACAGATTCTTAATATTTGTTAAATGAGAGTAATTATCATTTGATATTTTAGTTTGGACATTTTTTTAAGCAATATTCAATAATTAACAATAGAAACCCAATAGCTTTATATAATAACTTGTTACTCAATATTTTTATAAACCATTATATTTATTGGTCGTATATTCTTGAGACTTCTATAAACATAGTACCAACTACATTTAAATATGAAAGCTTAAAATGATTTGCTCAGTGTTCCAACATGAAGGATGAAATAATTCATGTTTTCTCATGTCTTAACAAATACCTTATCTGAGTGATTGGCCTATTTTTTTATATGTAGCATTTCTCAAAGACAATGATTTTCATGATTATAGTGCTTTTGTTGATTTGTTCTAAAAAAGTGAATGTCTTCCACCTTCCATATTTTGTTTTTATCTAACTTTTGGAGATCTATTTAACTGTTTTGAATTCAGTTTTAAAATATTCCAAGAAACTTTATTTCTTATGATTTACATAATCACTTTTTCTATATCTAAGATAAATTATTAAACATATTAATTACTATTAATGTGTTGATAGAATTAATACAACATGGAATACTTATATAAAGCCATATTTTTATTTAATAAGAGTGTAAGAGAAATTAACAAATTAATCCATTTATAAAACCCAAACCTGTATTTTCAACTTTTATATGGATAAGAAGATACCCAGTATTTTAGATTTATCTTATTTTGAAAGATACATACATAGAATGAACTTGAATTACTTAGTCTTTGAAAAAATTATAGGCTTTCTTTGATTTTCAGACTTCATAGAAGTAAAATAGTAATTCATGTGAGTCAACAGTGAGTGTAAAAACATAACTTCTTTCTCTTGAAACAAAAGGTGTTTACAGTCTTATGCTTGCTGCTGCCAAGCCTTTTGTGTTTACTGTTAATTATACATTTTTCACTCCAAAGTTTTTAAAAAGAATATTAGGGCCCTGGCCAGTTTGGCTCAGCGGTTAGAGCGTCGGCCTACGGTCCAGAGAGACCTGGGTTCGGTTACCGCTAAGGGCACGTACCTCGGTTGCAGTTTGTCCCCGGCCCTGGTTGGTTGTGCGGGTGGCAGCCACTCGATGTGTCCCTTCATGTCGATGTTTCTCTCTCTCTCTCCCTCCCACTCTATCTGTACAAAAAATGGAAAAATATCCTCGGGTGAGGATAAAAAAAAAAAAAAAAGAATATTAGGTACATATCAACTAAATAAATATTTGTTGGGTGAAAGAATCCAGGATAGTCTCTAGGTTTGTAAAAATGTATGTAAAATACCAACATCATCTTTGTTATAGATTTTTTTTTTTTTTTTTACTTAGCTGAATACAGCTCATCTTGCCTTCCTATATTACTGATCAAACCTTGAAATTATATACACTAGCAAATGATGCTATAAGGAATGTGGAACACTAACATTTTAATTAAAATACAAAATCACTGCCCTGACCAGTTTGGCTCAGTGGTAGAGTGTCAACCCTCCGACCAACGAGTCTCAGGTTCAATTCTGGTCCAGGGCACATACCGCAGTTGCGGTTTAGTCTCTGGCCCGTATAGGGGTCGCATGTGAGGCAACCAATAAATCTGTCCCTCTCACATTGGTGTTTCTCTCTTTCTCTCTCCCTCCCTCCCTCCCACTCTGTCTGGAGATAAATGGAAAAATATTCTCAGATGAGGATTAAAAAAAATACTAAATCATAATCCACACTAGTGTGTAGCTAAACATTTGATGGCCTCTGATTATATTAGTAGTAACATTTTTATTTGATAACTAGATAACTGAGTAATTAAAAACATATAATTAAAGCAAAGTCATATCCTAATTTATAAAGACAATAAAAACAAAAGAGCATAGCAAAACCCCATTGAAAAGTAGTACTGCACCATTCTAATGACATACATTTTTACTTATATATCTTATAAAGAAAATTAAAGTCAAACCTTGCCTTATGACTTCTTGTTAAAATACTCTAGAAGACCAGATGATAATGTAAGTCTCAAATCATAAACATAATACAAAATGATTCATCCCCATGAGCTTTTTGCCAGTCTAAAGTTATTATTTTTTTCTAAAGTTATTTTGAATGGCCTAGGGTAAAAGACAATATTGAAAGATGGTAAAGAAGCAATCAACATACAGGGTTTCAAATAATAAGGCCAGAACCTCATTTCACTGATCGGAACAATTAATTACAGAGCACAGGTATACTATATTTGTTGCTACCTACAGTGACACCACATTTCTCACCAGATGAAAGTGGGCAGGATCCTTTAAATATAGTCCACTTTGGAGTCCAGTTTGAAGGGTAGTGTGGACCAAGGTACCATGGTTCTTGAGAAAGGAAAAGGCCTAAGTGTGCATTAAGAATTACAACGAAAGAAACTGGTCCGAGAAGGAGGCTTTCTCTCAGAGATCAAGGACATACAGGAGTTGTATATTGCCTGGTGAATTGGATTGGCAAGGGTCAAATAAGGCCATTCAGCTAAAAAAGCAAAAACAAAAAAACAAATAAAACCAAATCAGCATATGGCCTACTTATATCCACAAGCACGAGGACTTTTGCGTTTCTTTAATAAAAAATTAACTCTTCCTTGCATTTATGAAGCAATATTAATACCTTCAGCAATACTTTTCTTCTTTCTTTTTGTTGACCCAAATTAACTGTTCAATCCACCAACAGAGCTTGAAAAGTTACAGTCCGTTTTAGAGCGACACAGACCTCTTTCTCTTTCTGGCAAAATCCCCTGCATGAATGAAGTTGGAGAACGCTTTAGTGAGGTGACTATCTGATGACTCAGTGCTATTCCCAAGGTCATAGTTCTTCAGGCCAGGACATAAGCAGTGCACGGTGGCCCGGCGGATGTAGCTGTCAAAGATATAGTAAATAAAAGGGTTGACACAGCTGTTGGCAAATGCTAAGGGCCCACTCACCTCCATGCCCAGCTGGAGAGAAGAGGAGGAAAAGCAGAGTTTTTGCTGCAACCCAGAGACAATGGCCAGGAGCTTGAAAGTATTAAAGGGCAGCCAGGAGAAGACAAAAGCTGCCACGACAATAAATATGATCTTTATGGATTTCCGCAGCTTCTTCTTGTGCTTTCCCGTCTGCCGGTAATGGGCGCACAGCTTCCTTGCAATGCAACAGTAGCAGGTCACAATGCTCACCAAAGGGGTGAAAAAGGTAAAAATTAAGGACACCAGGGCCCAAGTCAGTTTAATTGAAGTGGCCCTTTTCTCTGCACAGTATGGCTTATCCTTAATCAGGGTGAGCTCCCTGGACAGAAGAGTAGGCAACCCCAGGAGGCAGGAGATAAACCAGACAGTGGCACAGACTCCATAGGCATAGTCTCTCCTTCTGACTTTCTTGGATACTGGTGGACGCACAATGGCCAGGTAGCGGTCCACACTCATGCAGGTGAGCAGAAAGATACTGCAGTGCATGTTGACTGAGATCATGTAAGAGCTGCCTTTGCACAGGAAAGAGCCTGTTCTCCACAGTCCTAAAGATGCTTCTTTATCCACCCAGAGAGGCAACGTGATGAGGAATATGAAGTCAGAGGCGGCCAGGTTGATGATAAAGATGTCAATCAGTCTTCGGCTGCCTCGTTTGAAGTGCAACACACTCATGAGGAGGAGGTTCCCCAGCACTCCGATCAGGAACACAGCTGTGTAAAAGATGGGAAGGAAAACCGACGTGTAAGGAACATGGGCGTGGATCCTCTCCATCTCATCAGGACTTGGGCTTGTAACATAGGAGTAATCCGAGTAAACTGAGGTTGCTTCTGGGTCCATCACTAAAGATCAGGTGCCAAAATCTGGTAAGTTTCCTTACCTAGGAAGTTTTTGTATGAATTTTAGAAATCTCAAGGCAGCTTCTTTTATACAGGGCCGCCTCTTTCCCCACCTCACCCCTCCCTTAAAAGATCTTGGGACAAGCATAAAAATAGATTGAAAAAAGTTTCTACCAGTCCTCAGAAAGGGCCCACCAGGAACATTACCCTGATTGGTTTTAGGTGTTTGTGGTTTTTTAAATTTGCATCTGCCCAGGAAACTAAGCTACTTTTTTTTTTTTACTTCTTTCTTCAAGATATTCAACTTGTTTCTTTAAATCTAGAAATTAGAAAATGAATTAACTTTTTTTCCTTACCTACTTTAGCAACATCTTTTGTTTTTCTGACCCTGAGCATCCTTTTGATCTAGACTTCTGTTTCACATATAAGATACTGTTTTACTTTTAGAATTTTAAGGTGATGATGGTGAAGATACTCTTTTTATTTACATCTTTGGTAAATGTGAAGAAAATAGCCTTTCATTGCATCAAGAGCAAACTGAAAATCTCCGAAATCATACCAGCCACATCTATGGCAAACAATGATTCCAGTTAGGGTATGAGACTTTTCTTACTAATTTGGCTCTTTTAATTCATATGTAATCAATCTTTTCTCATTCAATAAGTTAAAAAAATCTTCAAAAAGCTGAGATCATATCTTGTGCTTTTATTATTTAGAAAAATGTACACTACAACTAGCACAGCACCTTGCACATAGTAGGTGCTTTGGGAATGTTAGTATATTTGAGTTGATTAGGAAAACTTGTTTTTGTGATTTTGTATTATTAGCAAGGATTAATTCATTGAGCTTTAACTGTAGGCATTATTGTTACTTATGTAGCTTATGAACACAGGTTTAAAAGTCACAAGTTGGTATTTTTACTTTTTTCTCTGCCATTGTAATTCAACCAATGGCATTCCCTTTGTTAGAATTAACATCCTTGAGAAATTTTCTCCCTATTAATCCTCAAATACCTACCCTTCATCAGACTCTAGCTCCTCTCTTTTCTTTGCACCTCACCTCTGTAGCAGTGATTGTTTCGCTTTTGAGCTATGACTTTTCCTTAAGTACCTCCACACATCATGAACTTCACTTTGGGAATTACTGACCTGGCAACAGACAGATCTATATTAAGTGACATTATAATAGAGTTGCCAGTATAGGCACTATAAAAGGAAGATTTTTGTTTCATTCAAAACATATTTTCATATCTGTTCTCTTTTATATTAGACCATAGTAAAATATAACAAATTCTGAAACTGACACCATTTATTTCAATTCTTTACTGGCCAAAATGGCTCAAGCTTCTCTCATAGTCTTCTCTCTTTCTCTTTCTTCTATCTCATTTCATTGCCAAAATCACTGTTTCAAGTTGATACTACTAATGCATGGAAGAATGTATGCCTGTAGATGAAAATACAATTGTTAAGCATTTGAAGTTCTTTCTACTGAATTTATATTTCTTCTGTAATTACTATGTTGAAAGAATGACCCTGCCTGCTATATTCCCTCCTTCTCTCTTTTTCCTGATGTGTTCTAATGTCACCTCGGTCTTAGGTATGAGAATCTAAGTCAGGGAAAATGAAGGCTCTCTTGATCTAGGGCAGACCCAGGAAGTCACTTGGGAGTTGATTTTTTGGTCTGGGTCTACCCTTTTTTGTGTCTCTGGTTGCTCTGTGTTGTTCATGGGGGGCACCTGGCTGCTCTGTGTTGTTCATGGGGGGCAGAGGAGGAAGGAGGGGGACATATCCTTTACTAAATATATGCTGCAGATGAGAGGAACTAATGCTTTGACATTTGCAGGATGGCAGTCTTTCCCACTGGGTAAACCTTAAATATTTAATAGAATAATTCATTTTGTCAAATAGTTTGAAGTAGGACAATATTAACTTGAAAAGGATTGATGGGGTAAACACGGAATATTCAACCACTATCTGTGTGTGTGTGTGTGTGTGTGTGTGTGTTAAAGTATCAATCATATGTATGATTGTGCTTTAATTGTACTGTTAGAATTTTGCATTCTGAAAACAGAAGTTCTTTTGCCATTTGAGAAGATAAGATGGATTCTGGGCCTAAAATATATGAAAAAAATTCTTTTAGATATGTTTCAAAAATTCCACATAAATGTTATAAAACAGTAAAGAGTTTATGCTCATACTCTAGAGGAAAATATCTGGCTGTACATTTATTCTGTAAGCCTTAAATTTTCTTTCAGTGTTCAAAATTGTTGGCCTGCTGATGCATACTATCTCAACAAATCTGACTTTCTCAGTAAACTTTAAAGCAGCTGTAAACAAAGTGATGTTCTTTATGTATATAGTCTCCTGGAATATAGTAATCAGTGATAGAATGCTGCAATGTGAGAATATACAACATGGATCAACAGTGTCTTGGGACCCAAGTTAGAAAACAAATTGTTTTAAGTCAAAAAAGAGAACAAATATCATTGTTCTGGTTTTTTAATAACTCAAAGAATAAAAGACTATTACAAGACAGAACCCATAATAAAAGCTGACTAGATAAAGTGGGAAGGATCATTGTTCTAAGTAAGCTTGGGTAAAATGGTCATTTTTCAGGATTCAAATGGTCTCTGAAATAAACGTGAGTATACCAACAATACAATAACCAACCACACATAGACCAAAACTCAGAAACAATACTGGATATATACGCATATAAAAAGAGCAGTCCAAACAAGGTGATTAAAAAAAAAAAAAGAGTAAGATGTAAATGTTAGTAACTGAATTACAGCACACATGCCATCTCCACTCCAACCCATTCAACTTTCCTTCCTTACCCTTGGCAGATAATTGCTTCCATTTTTATATTCTCTGAGATCCTATACAACACTGCTTATGAAGTACTTATGACCTCATTTCACATGATTTGTTATTTTGGTGTCTGACCTCCTGAGATGATCATGACCAACATGAAGGGAGAGGCCATTTGTTATCTCTCTACTGACTTCTAGTTTACGGCAGCTACCCAGCTGAAGTCTTTTATGGACTCTCAAAGCCATTGTTTTAAACCTGTGGGTGCCAGACCACATTACCCACATTAGAGCCACCTGGGGTGCCTACTAATCTGTAGCTTTGGGAACCCAGTCCCAGATCTATTGAATCAGCAGCATTAGGAGTGGAGTTCTAGGACTTGATATTTAACAAACATCCAAGGTGATTCTTACACACACTAAAGTTTAGAATCATTGTTCTCATTTTCTTATCTTAACCCAACTTTATATGTGTTATGCTTTGTTATTATTTTGGCTAATTTTTAAAGGAGTTTAAAAAGCACCTCTAAATTTGAACTTCTTAGAAGTCTTTTAGCCTGAATCTCACAAAATTTTAGAAATTAATTTAGACTTCTGGGCTCTCCCTACTCTGTGTCCCAATTCCTGAGGTATGTTCAGAATTGGGTCAGATGTTGAAGATGGAGAGAGAGTAAGGTTTTGTCCACAGAGACATCTGCTCAAGTGAATCTATTATCATCTGTCATGTGGTCATAGCTGCGACATGCAGCCTCTGCTTCACAGGTAGGCTGAGGTTTTGTGTGAATACAACCAACTGGCATTGTGATTTATTACTTCTGCTTCTTCTCTGTCAACTACTCTGGCTCCCATATTAAATAGGGGTGCATCAGATTATGTAGCATATAGCCACAGTAGAAAAAATCTCTGCTCATATATGCTGAGCCCTAGAATAAATGGCAAATATAATGAAGTAACTTGTTTTTTATCAATCTTATTAGAGTGATGATATATTTATTCCTTAGGAAAAAAAAGACACTCTTGTCCATTTCTTACTTGAGTATTATAAAGTGTATAACCATTTAAATAGTCCAGTTTAAGAGATCTGTTTATACTCTAAGAGGAAATGATTTCTTTTTATTCTGACAGTTACTTGGAGAGTTTAGTGCAATAGAATGTAATATATCATGCCAAACTAAGTATTTGCTATTATCAGGGTCCTCCCCTTCTTCATTTATTGGTTATTTCCCTTGATACCCATATTTACAGAAATAGCAGTGATGTCACTGTTCTAGGCACATACTTTAGGCTGCTTCATAATGGTTGATTTAATCCGGATTTAGGGTATTCATAACACAAATTGTATTTATTTATATTGCTGTTTCTCCCAGCACAGTGTCTGGCATTCAATAGGTGATTAGTAAGTGTAGATCTGGAATGAATTATGCTTGAATTTTGAGTCATTTCCAATGATCAGGGACTTTTTTTTTTTGCAAACTTCTTGGACAGTTTCCATTTCCCATGATTACTATTTATCATTGAAATGGCAAAAGTTTGTGTTGCTGTATGTTTTCTCATCAGAATACATATAGCCTTCCTCCTCTTCCTTTGGCCATATGCATTTCCCACTTTCTCTGTCTGCTTATACATTACCTAGGCTGGAGGACACATGAATTCCCCAGGAAACTTTAATGCTGTACATCTATGACAACCATATTTTAGAGTTACATTATTCTTCTTCCAGCAGAATAATGCATCATAAAATTTTAGAGCTTCAAGTGATGTTGGTGATCACCCAATACAACTATTTTACCAATGAGAACACTGGGGCCCAGAAAGAGGTCACTTACCAAAGACTCACATTGGTGATTGTAAAATAAAGGACAATTTAAATTTAAACTTCCTGTATACATGTGGTCCATTCATTGTCCTTCAGACGCATCTATTGGTTGCCTCCTGCACTACCCCAGAATATGTTTTTATTGACTTTAGAGAGAGAGGAAGGGAGAGGGCGAGGGAGGAACACTGATGTGAGACAGAAACATTGATCGGTTGCCTCCTGTACATGCCCTGACCCCAAATCAAACCCACAACCTTTTGATGCATGGGATGATGCTCCAACCAACTGAGCCACCCAGCCAGGGCTGCATAAAATATCTTTTAGGAAAGTCCGCAGCATGAGTGAGGACAGGCCATTGTATGGAAAAGTTATTGAAAGTGGCTTAGGTGGGCAGGAAGTTGGGTGGTATGGTGTCTCAGGAATCACCAGGGTGGAGTGACTGGTGTTAGCCAGGTTGATGGAGACTCAGATATGGCACCTGCCTGTGTTTGCAGGTTGGGTGGGGGGAGGCCTCAACAAAGGACAGTGCACTTGCCCTCATTTCTGTCTGTGAGAAAGCTGCCCCTCCAGCCTTCATCCAAAGCCAGGCAATTTAGTCTCTCCCTGTAAGTCCCTGGTGCTTTTCAAGCAGCTGCCCCAATGCTGGAACTCAGAGCAAGTGAGTCCATCAGCCAGTAAATCAGTATGAGGACCCTTTAAGAGGAACTCCTGGGATTTGAGCAGCCCTTGGTCTCACTGAGCCACTGTACCTGCTGGTTTTCAGGCAGAATTTATGGGGACTTCTAGGACTGATACTGGAACCCTGAGCTGGGAGGCCCGGTGTGGGGCTGTGACCCCTGAATTCTCAGGGGTGACCTCTGCAGCCGACATTTCCCTCTTGATTTTTAACCTCCACATGTGGGTGTGGGACCAGTTCATTATGCTGTCCACCCCCCCTACTTTTATAGTCATTAGCTAGTTTATTAATATTAATAATAGGAAAAGACCAAAGGGGAGGCCAGCCATTATAAGCATGGTTATCTGGGAAGTTTCACCAGGAATATACAACTTCACCCTCCCCAGGGAACTACCAGTCCATTCACTGCAGATCACTGAAGGAAGGGATTGAACAAGGGTGGAGATGGGCACACGCACAGTGAAGTTGGAGGTAATGTAGGGAAGGTACTTGCCTGTCAGTCTTGCCCGGGGAACAATGGATTGTCTAGGAGAGTAGAGTCACTGTAATCACACAAAATCTTGGAAGGGTAAAATCCCCAAAGAGTTTCCTCTCTTTTGCCCTTGCTGGCCTCTTGATGTCTCTTGCTCTGTGATCCACACTCACCCATGCGCTTGCCTCCACAGCATGTGGCCTTGCCCATGACCATGGGGACCCCCCACACAATGAACTGCAACTGGGAACACAACCTAAGCTAGTCAGATGCTGACTGGACTGTACTTTAATATGGAACAGAAATTCTGGGCATTGGCTTTACTTCTAGCCCTGCTGAACACAAGACTGGACTTCTTCCACGGTAAGACAAACAGAGATGAGAACTCCCTTCATTTTACATCATCAATTTCCACGAAATTCCATCCTCCTATGGGGGCCTCAGGAAATTCTTTCCCCCACGACACCTCAAGAATCCACTTCCACCGATAACACCACCAGTCTCCCAGTGGTTTCTTCTTTATATCCTTACTTGTAGGACTTCTGTTCAGTTAGATTTCAGGTGATTCTCAAGGGTGGTTGTTTTGTATTCTACTTATAATTGTGTTTATTTATTATTTATTGATTTTAGAGAGACAGGAAGGGAGGAGGGGTGGACAGAGGGAGAGGAAAAGAGAGAAAGAGAAACATCGATTTATTGTTACACTTATTTATTTATTTTTTAAAAGAGCATGCTCCCCGCATGAAACGATCCCAGGTAGTGCTTTTTTTTCTTTATTGCTTTTAGAGAGAGAGGAAGGGGAGAGGGAGAGAGAGATAGAAACATCAATGAGAGAGAACATTGATTGGCCACCTCCTGCATGTCCCCCACTGGGGATTTGGCCCACAACTTGGGCATGTGTCCTGACCGGGAATCGAACTGGTGACCTCTTGTTGCAAGGGTTGATGCTCAACCACTGAGCCAAACTGGCTGGGCTGTTACACTTATTTATGCATTGTGTAATTGGTTGATTGCATTGGTTGATTCTTGTATTTGCCCTGACCAGGGATCAAACCTACAACCTTGGTATATCAGGATGATGCTCTCTATTCAACTGAGCTACCTGGCCAGGGCCTTTAGTTGTAATTTTGACGTGGTTGTGGGAGGAGGTGAGCACAGCATTTTCCTACTCTGTCATCTTTTTTTTTTCTTTTTCATTTTTAGTGAATTTATTGGGTGACACTGGGTAACAAAATTATACAGGTTTCAGGTGCACAATTCCACAACACGGCATCTGTACACTGTATTGTGTGTTCACCACCCCAAGTCAAGTATCCTTCCATTCTACTCTGCCATCTTGAGGAAAGAGCCATTTTAGATGCATGTTTCTACTTACCTTGTTCTTAGTTAGTTTTGCTATTGTTTGACAGTGAATTGATACAAGGAAATTTTTTAAGTGATACTTTTTTAGGATGGTTGTTGACTGGAACCAAGAGCTTGCATATATTTCTGCTTTTCTCCTCTGTGTAGGTTCACAAGAAAAATAACCCAACAAAATTTTATGAGTAATACATAATGTAGGTATATCTTACTTAACGTAATTTCCAGTTCCTAAAATATGTGCAATTAAAAAATAATATTTAAGTAGATCAGGGTATTTGGTATGAATGGGAATTCTCATATTAAGAATTGTTTTGTAAGTACATAATATAATCAAATAATATCTGTACATCTAAATTTTCAGTTGTCTGAAAATTTAAACTGTAATGTAACTGTAACACCTTCCTGCTGAAAGTGGAACCATCCTTAACAAATTAAGCCTGAGGTGTAGTTCAACTTTGCTTTTAAATCTAAATTGTATAATCTGTACATGGTTGCACTAAATTATCTTTAACATTTTGTAAAAAAAATTTTAGGCAGGCCACTGTTTCCCAAACAGCAGAGTAAGAAATGGAAGCAGAAATTTAACTCCATTATTTTATTAAGGATTTATATTGTCTACCCACACAATAACTAAGTATAAAGAGAAAACAGAAAACACCCACGATGCATAGATAAATCAGAAATATGGTTGTGTGCTCTGAGGTACTTTGTGTGATGAGGCAGTGCAAGTCCTCTGTAGCAGTGGGCAGGATGGTCACAACCTCAAACATGCAGACAATTTCAGGTCCATACTAAATTGGAGAGGGAGCTCTAGGTAGTTTGGCTCAGCAGTTAGAGTGTGAGCCTGCAGACCAAAGGGTCTCAGGTTCGATTCCTGGTCAAGGGCAGGTACCTGAGTTGCAGGTTTGATCCCCGGCCCTGGTTGGGGTCAGGTGGGAGGCAAGCAATTGTTATGTCTCTCTCACATAGATGTCTCTCTTTCTCTCTCCTTCCCTCCCACTCTGTCTAAAAATCAATGGTAAAATATCCTTGGGTGAGGATTTAAAAAAATTTTTTCAATAAATAAATTGGTGAGTGAAATGTGTCTTGTGTATTTCTAGGCATTCTGCAGACTTGTCAGATGAAAGCAACATCCTCCTGGACAGGTCTCCCAGAAACAACCATCTTGAATCATGACGACTTATGTATGCCTGAGCAGACCTAAACAAGGATGCCTGATATCTGGTCCTGGTAAGTTTTCCTAGTCATTTGACAGTTAGTCCAGAGGTTCCTAAAACCTGCTAAAGTAAGCAAAGACACCTACCTCTATACATGGCTTATGTTCACCCTCCAGGGGAAGCAGGAGATTTTAAAAATTGTATGTACTGACCCTACTTAAAAATTTTAGATGTTCAACAAATATTTTCAAATACTTATCATTTAATAATTGTTTACTATGCCTAAGGCCTGTGCTGGGCGTTTTACATGTATTTTTTTCTCATTCAGTCCTCACAATGACCACTTAAGATAGGGGCCACTGTCAATATCCTATTTTGGATAAAATAACACTGAAACTTAAAGAAGTTAAATTGTCTAATGTCACAAAGCTAGTCAACTCACCCCAATATCCAAGTTTGATAAGTCAGTTATTCACCCTGAGCTCAGTCTCCTTGTCTCTAAATTGAGGCGGTAATTTCCTCTTTAAACAGTAAAACCTAAGTTACATATGTCACAATCGATGACGAGCGGTGACCAGGGACAGTTCGCCCTAACCTGTTGACCCTAGACCCTTCCTAGACCGTAAACTAGAGGAATCCATCAGCCCAGGCTTCCCGTGTGCGCGCTCCAGTCCCTGGAGCTGAACTACATCTCCCACAAAGCCCCGCGCACCTGGGCGCTGGGAATGCGACCGGCCTCCTCTCTCCGCTCTCCCTCCGTCCCTCCTACAACTCCCACAAGGCCCCTGGGCCCTGGGCCCTGGCCAGGCCTGGGGCGGAGGCGGAGGCGCGGGAGTTTTGGAGGGGGCGGGCTTTGCAGGGAAGTGCGTCAGAGGAGGCGCGGGGAGAGTAGGGTGCTGTGGTCTGAGCTTAAGGGTGAAGCTGGCGGAGCAGGAGGATGGGCGGTGAGTGAGCAGCCGGCGTCGCTGGGCGGGGGTCGCGTAGCCGGGCGACGTTTCCAGCGGTTTAAGGAGGGGTCTCCCCACGCACTGCTGGGGTGGGCGGGTTCTGGGCGGCTAGGCTGGGGCGGGGGTTGTCCCAGGGCCGAGTGGTCTGGGGAGGGGCCTGCTTGTGTACGCGGCCCAGGGCGGGGGCGCACCGGCCTCCCCAGCTCAGCCCAGCCCCGCGGCCGCCACCTCCGGCTCTTCAGTGCGCCCCGCGAGGTGACAGCGCCCGGCGTCCGGCCTGGGAAAACCCCGCTCCAGTGCCGGGACCTTTTAAGGTCATTTGAGAGCACCAGGATGGAAGAGGGTTCAAAAGGATGAACAAACTCAACTTCTGGAGTTGCGTTAATGTTGTAATTGCTCTGATCCCTCCTGAGTCACTCCCCAGCTTCGAACTCGGCAGCCGCAGTCGGCGAGCCTGTTTCGGGCGTTTGTAGGGTGTTTGGTGCGGTCACGGTGCAGACGAGCAGTATTTGACGGAGCAGGTTCCACCTTGAGTCATTCCACCGCGGCCATTGACTACCGCCGTGGAGCCCGTGTCCACGCCTTGGGAGTGTTCAGATTTTGTCTAATTCAGAGTTTCTTTATGAGGAGAGAGGCATTCAGTTTGCAGATGAGGAGGTTCAAAAGTATGAGGAGTGGGGAGAGTCGATAGGAGCAAAGGCTTTGGCAGGGTAAAGGGGCTTGGTTTAGCTTTACGGGATTAGGGCAGATAGATATCTAGCATTATGTGTTATTTTGTTCTTGCTGTTCTGTGCACCTGAACCTTTCTCTGTGGGTTCGCAAATTATCTTCAGCTCAGTCTTTCTGACTCTAAACCTTGTTTTTAGGTTTCCCTCCTCAGAGGAAACTGGGTGGAGCAGATATCCTCTGCTTGGTTTTCTTCTGTCCTTTTCACACTAAGACCTAGCACACATAATGCTTGTGTTAAAAACTCAGTCTCTATTTAAAAACATATGCATGGTGCATTGCTGACTCTGGGCATGTCTATTGTTTGTATCTGTAATGTGTATGTCCTTTTCAGTGTTGTCTGTTTTAGTGTGCAGGTGATAGACTAGAGAACAAGACCTCTGTCTCCGTAGCATCCTGGGTATGTGAACTTTCAATGAGTACTTTCATGATGACTTTTGTTTTGAACTTAATTTAAAAAATGCTTTAAAAAAAAAAAACCCTCCTTAATGATGAACATAATAGCCAAAGGATGGGGAATAAAGTAAAGGGTGATTTTGAGGTAATTTCTTTCAAAATAATATTTATTTGTCCTGGATTGAGTCTAACTTTTCTTCAATTTTTATACAGAGCAGTCTGAATGCCAGAATGGATAACCGTTTTGCTACAGCATTTGTAATTGCCTGTGTGCTTAGCCTCATTTCCACCATATACATGGCAGCCTCGATTGGCACAGACTTCTGGTATGAATATCGAAGTCCAGTTCAAGAAAATTCCAGTGATTTGAACAAAAACATGTGGAGCAACTTCATTAGTGATGAGGCAGATGAAAAGACTTATAATGATGCACTTTTTCGATATAATGGCACATTGGGATTGTGGAGACGGTGTATTACGATACCCCAAAACATATATCGGAATAACCAAGAAAGGACAGGTATTTCTCTTTTTAACTTATATCTTCTTTACCTATTCAAAAAAGGACAAAGTGATATGATGATGGCCCCGTTATGTATAAGCCGGTTTGTGAGTTCTCCCTCTCCTCAAAGAAATAAGTTTTATATGTCTCTTCTTTCCATACCACCTTCTCCCCACCACCTTCCATGACTTACTCATACATATCGGTTGGATATATAACTGTCCTTATCTTGGGAAAGTCATGTTAAATCTTAGTATTTATTTATCTGTTTATTAAAACCTTTTTATTAATCTCACATGTTATGAGGAAATAATTGGAAAAGTACATTGGAAGACTTTAAATACTTGGTAACTGGTAAAAAGGTCTAGTATACAAAAATCAAATACGAATTGGTAGTCCTTTTATGTTTTAGCAGATATTATCATTTGCTCTCTATATCGTAGAGGACATAATTTGACCAACTCTACATTTAAATCTATGCATATTTGAGGCTGTTTTACAATAATCTTGATAGAGTTTATAGGTTAAAAATGTGCAGTACAAAAGAAAAATAGTCTAAGAACTTGTCTCTCAGGTTTATTTTGCAAGCATTCTTAACATTAAAAATTTTTAATTTCCAGCTATTAAAATGGAAATACAGAGCTCTTTCTAAGGAACAACTTAACATTTTGTTTTTATGTGTGACTAATTCTGTTGGCGCCTTGGTGGGAAGCACCATATTCAGATCACAGCGCAATAGGCTTGAGTTTCCATACCATCAAAAGAATAGTAGATGTGATTTTTTATATGGAAAAAGAAAGTAGTTTGCAAGAGGGGAAAGTTGGTTAAAATTTATTGTTAAATGTTTAACTCTATGAGTGCATAGGAGTACTTGATATTTGAATCTTAGCGATCATTTATCTTTTATTCAACAAATATTTATTGTATGTCTCCATGTTCCAGGGCCTAGAAGCTTGGAGTATTATCAGGGAAAATAAAAATAAAAATTCTTACTTCTGGGGGAACTACTTACATTCCAATAAGGGGTGACAGGCAATAAACATAGGTATAACAGTATAAACAGTAAATAATTGTATAGTATGTTAGAAGATGACATCTGCTGTGAAAAAAATATAGCGAAATAAAGGGGAGTTGGAAATACGATGTCGGTGGGCAAAAGTTACAATATTCATTAATATAGGCAGGATAGGCTCTAACAAGAAGACACTGCTTGAGTCAACACTTGATATCGGTGAAGGTGTTAGTCAAATAGGTAATTGTGGAGGCAGATGGAATCATTTAGGTTGGAAGGAACAACTATTGCAAACGTCCTATGTTAGGAACATGCCTAAAATAGTCAAGAACCAGCAAGGAAGCCACTGGACTGCATTGGAGGGAGAAGGAGAATGGATATTCTGTCAGAGACATATGTACTCTGGGAGTGGGAGTAGGGCAAATCATGCAGGATTCTGTAGGTGTGAAGAGGACATTAGGTTTTACTCTGAATGTAACAGAGCCATTGGGGGACTTGGAGCAGAGGAGAGATGATCTGGTCACTTAGGCTGATATGTTGAATACAGGTTTTAGGCAAAGGGGAAAGCCAGGCGACTAGTTAGGAAGCTTATGCACTAATTCAGCTGAGAGATGATTGTGACTCAGATCAGGGTGGTAGTACTGAGCATTGGCTGGATTCTAGATATATTTTGAAGGTGGAGCCTCTTGGATTTCCTAATGGAATACGTGTGGGCAAGAATGACCCAAGTTCCTAGGCTGAGGAACTGGAAGGGTGGAATTGTCATTACCTGAAATGGGGAAGATGGCTAGTGGAATAGGTTAGGGAAAAAGATCAAAGTTTTATTTCTTTGTTTTTGTCCCCTCCTCCTCCTTCCTAGTCTTACATATCTCTTCATTTTACTGCCCCTACTCCCCCCTTCCTTTTTGTGCCTGTGTATTAAGCCTACCACTGAGAACCATTGGCATCGATCCTATATGTTAGGGCTAAAGTGGTTGCTGTCTCCTCTGGAAACATCTTTCTGTATCACTTCTTATTTCAGAGAATAATTACTTGAAAGAGATTTTTGTTTTGTTTAATGCTTATAATTGAAACAAGCAATCATAGTTATTATTGTTCCAGAATCATTTGATGTGGTCACAAAATGCATGAGTTTCACGCTAAATGAGCAGTTTATGGCGAAATTTGTTGATCCTGGAAACCACGACACTGGGATTGATCTGCTTCGGACCTGTGAGTACTTTGATATCAGCAGGACAATTAAGGAAAAATAGGAAATAATTTTGCCTTTTGTGAACTCTGATTTTGGAACAAAATGAGTTACTACATTGTGTCAACTTGATATAAGGTCTCTAACAGTATCTCAACAAACTCTGATCTGTTAATATTTTAATATTATTAAAATTAAAATATTTTAATATTTTAGGTACATATTTGCCAAATTGCAAATAGGAAGTTCAGAGAGGCAAAAGGACACATTGGATGACAAAATCTAGACCCTTCAAAAAGGTGTTTTTAGTGAGCCCATTATAGAGGAAATTTAATAGGGATAAATAAGAAATTCCTGTATTAGAGTTAAACCCTTCAGCTACCTGAGTTCAGGTAGGGATGTGTGAGAACAGTTGACTGCAAGCTGTATATGAGTCAGTTGAATGTCAGGCCTGCCACAAGTCTTAATCCAGTCTTAGATGGTAGTAACAAAAGTGTAGGCGTCAAAAATAAATGAAAATATTTATTAGGAGTATTTATTATTCCTTGAGGTTCAGACTACCCAGGAAATACTATCCTGAGATTTGGACCTAGTTTCCAGTCTGTAGAGACTTACTGGAGCTTGCCTGGAAGAATGACCATGTCACAAGAAGAAACATGGAATAAATGGCAAGTATTCAGTTTTGCTTTGCAGATGTATATGAAGAAGTTTATTTATTACTATCAGAGTTTGAAGGAAAGTTAGAGAAAGGACTTTTATGTAGTTCTAGAAGTAAAGCTAGCATTAAAAGGTAGATTTGGTTTGGAGTTGATAATACATTGCTAATAATTAAAATAATTTAAAAATTGATTGGGATGCTTTGTAAAGTCATCAGCTTTCTTCCCATGTGGTTTAAGGAATTTGTGATAATTAAAACTAGCATTTATTGCCCTGGCTGGTTTTGCTCAGTGGTTAGAGCATTGGCCCACGGACCAAAGAGTCTTGGGTTTGATTCTGGTCAAGAGCACATACCTTGGTTGCAGTTCAATCCCCGGCCCTGGTCAGTGTCCTGTGGGAGACAACTAATCTCTCTTAAATTGATGTTGCTCTTTCACATCAATGTTTCTCCCTCTCCCTCTCTGTATCTCTCTCCCACTCCCTCCCTCACACTTGATCTGATAAATGGAAAAATATCCTTGTGTGAGAATTAAAAAAAAACTAGCATTTATTGAGTGCTAGTTTTATGTCCCAGATCCTCTACTTTGTGTTTTATGTATATTCTTTCAACAGGTTTTTTTTTTATTTTTTTATTTATCATCATTCATTGACTTGTTATTCCTGCTGTAGATCCTCTAAGGACTTAGATTTGTTTGTATGTAGAGCCAGAATGTTTTGCTTCAAATGCTGGCTCTACTAGTTTGTAGGGATGTTAGAGGATTAACACACAGAGCGTCCATAGAATAGTGCCGGACACATAGTAAGACCTGTCCTGCTGAGATCAGTAATTGTTAACTGTTAGTCTTCTTTTACTTTTATCAGGACAGAGTTGGCATTGTTTTGAATAGTGTACTGTATAAAACCTCAGTCGTCCTTTCTCATTTTTGAGAAAAGATCTATATAGAATATGAAAGAAATTGCCATTGTGGGAAAACTGTCTGGAATCATGGTAACATTTTTTTCCTCTCCTTTTTTTTCTTCCAGATCTTTGGCGTTGCCAGTTTCTTTTACCTTTTGTTAGCCTAGGTTTAATGTGCTTTGGGGCTTTGATTGGACTTTGTGCCTGTATCTGTCGAAGCTTGTATCCCACCATCGCCACAGGCATTCTCCATCTCCTTGCAGGTGGGTCTTGTCGTCATACTTAATGTTTATCTTTCTGTCTCCCTAGAGACCGAAGAGTTATAATTGTTAAACATTTATATATCATTACCTTGTCACATTGCCTGAAAAACTCTTATGGTGCTCTTATCTAGCTATGTTTTGTTTTGTTTCCTAAATTTTCCTCCAAGGTCTTTGCACACTGGGCTCCGTGAGTTGTTACGTTGCTGGAATTGAACTACTCCACCAGAAACTAAAGCTGCCTGAGAATGTGTCTGGTGAATTTGGATGGTCCTTCTGCCTGGCTTGTGTCTCAGCTCCCTTACAGTTCATGGCTTCCGCTCTCTTCATCTGGGCAGCTCATACCAACCGGAAAGAGTACACCTTGATGAAGGCATATCGTGTGGCATGAATGGGAAGCTAGCTGCTAATACAATTGCCATTTTTATTATTTTTTTAAGAGTAATATTTTCCCTTGCCCTCCCCCCAATTGTTTTTTAATTTAACTATTTGTTTTTTGCAGATATATCATTTTATCTTGAAAACCCACTTTATTTATTCACATAGTTGTTTTTTAATACGACTAAAATTTATATGCATTACTCTGAGTGATTCCGTATTTCAAACAAATTAATCTAGGGTCAGAGTCCAGACAGAAGGAAATGGGTAGATACTTGGCACAAATTTGTGAAAGATAACTAATAGTGGAATATTGATCCAGACCAAGTTCTGCTGATGTCTATTAGACATTTTAGTAAAGTAATTATATTCACTCCACTGGAAATTTTATTTTCATTGGGAAACCTCATTATTGTCAAAACTTATGTTCACTCTGCTGTTATAGTTAGCCAGTAAGCCAGAGGTGTTAGTGCTATTTTCAAAAATTTAAGATACATAAAGTAGGGAAATTATCTAAGACCCTTTTCCCTCAGTAATGGCATATAGCTTCATTGAGATGAAATATGGTAGCTGTTTATCTACACCGTGTCTGTCTACAAGAAAAGAAGTGAAAAATAATAGTGTTTACTTGAAAATTTAACTTTGGAACTGCAGGAATTCCAATTCAGCCAGACAGAAAGATTAACCTTATTTTATTTGTTTTAAAAACTCTCCTTAATATGTCAGTAGGATTTTCAGTACCACCAAACCATTTTGGATTTTTGCTCCTTCCCCCTTATTACACCAGGCTTATTACAAGAGTGCTTTCTTTATAGTAACATATCGGGGTCACAGAGTACAGTTCTTCAACTGCTATCTTCTTATTTCAGCTAAGTACCATAAAGAACCTTCCACCATAAAGACCCTCTGGAATTAGGCAAACTACCACAACTGGGCTGGTCATTAACTTCCAACTAGGGTCTTTATTTCTTGTGGTGAAATGATGTGCCTTTCCTTGCCTAAATCCCTTCCTGGTGTGTATCAACATTATTTAATGTCTTTTAATTCAGTCAGTTTTGATAAATATGTCTATAAACATTGAACTATTAAAAATCTTATTTATTTATTGCATTACTGTAGCACTTGACAGATTTTTAAAAAATGTTACTTAGTAATTTCTTACAATATCTTAAATCTGTCTTTTATAAAAAATAAAATTAAAAATGAGAAGAGACTCAGTTGATTTAAATCTCAATACCCTAGGATAAAGGAGTACAAGAGTCTGAATGAACATCTCTGTGGTTCTCTGTGGAAAATGCATTGTTGCTTTATAGGCCTATCTTTATGTCCAGTGTTTCCGTCTCTGTTTTATCTTCCAGGAAATATGGAACCTCTTACCCCTACCAGAAAATAAGAGACTCTTTATCTCCTATGTTTCAAAGTTTTAAAACATGTTTTCAAAGTTGTTTCATGATCTCTGTCATACTTAACGTGGCTAGTTTTTTATAAATTCACTTAATGGCTGTGGATATTTGCATTCTATATTAAAGAAATAAGTCAGTTTTGAATTCCAACAAAACCACTATTACTCTGTAGCTGATTATTGTCTATGAAATGATGGCTACGCAGTTTTCTCTCTCTTCCTAACTCTTGAAATGGCCTTGCCCTTCAGCACCCTCTGTGGAAGGTGGACAGGAGAAAAGCTAAGCAAACAAACACAAAACACTTTTGGGAATAGGATTTTAAAATTATTGAACAAGAGGACGTTTTTGTGTTGGGCATTATCTTAAGCAATGGTTCCTGCCTCTTGTCACTCCAAAGTTGTCTGACTGTCATTGTAACAGCAGTCTGGGAGCTCATTCAGAACTGGACTTCGGTGTTATAGCCTCACCAGTAGCATCCTATAATATGTATGGAAAGCTAGCACCATAGCCCTGATGCTAAATATGTGTTGTAGTTGATAATTTAAACACATTGCAGAGTAGCTGAAGTCATCCTCTCCTGTGAAGACTTTTTTCCTTATGATACATAGGGCCATGTTGTTTCATGTGATGTGAAAACTAGTTTTTCAACTGTCTCATGGTTCTAAAGAGGTAGAATCATGTGAATTACTGATTTTTGACCATTTTAAAAATTAAGACATCAAATGAGTGGCAAGTAAAGTCCTATTAATCTCTTTTCACCTAGTCTTTGAAAGTAACCCTCAAAGTAAAAAATTGTCAGAGATTTCAGAACATGAACTTTATGACAACTTATGAAACTTGTTTTAAAATCTTAATTTTATGGTTTCTAACCTCTTAACTGTCTTTAGCAAAGGACTCATTTTAAAATTTCTTAGAGCTAGCCATAAAAACAGTAGAAGTCAATAAAATAAAAAAGGCATAATAATTCCAGAAGAATTTATTTGTTCAGTTAACTCTGTACCTACTATCTACATCATTATACACCAGCCAAGAATTTAATAGCAATGTGTTAAAGTTTTACCTGCTTCAAGTATTTGTGTGTGAGCGTGTGTATTGGGAGGATAGACTTGATAAGTCACTTATAGGTGAATTGATTTAGTCACATGAGTGAGACGAAGGAGATGATAATACAACAAATCAATTTAGAGTTTGTTTTTCTGTTCCAAAGATAACATCAAATTGTAGACTAGCAGTTAAAACTTACAGAAACTTATAGACCTGTCATCTTTGATTGACTATAAAGTACATAATGCTGAGGGCATTTAAAAATTTAACCCTCATGTTGGCCTTCATCAGAAATGAAAACCTGTTGAATTAACCTGATTTGCCAGTTGCAACACTTCCCAAAGTTTTCTAGCAATGAAAGGAGAAGATACGGTTCCAGTTTTGTAGATGCAAATTATTTCACAAGCTGGATGCAGCTTTGTCCTGGCACAGATGGATGGAGTCTTGTCCTCCTTTCAACTTTCTACTCATTAGGAAATAATGGTTCACACCTTGAAAAGAAGGAATTAAAACAGGGAAGCACATCTAGGGATAGGAATTCTTTTGTCTGTTGCTCATCAGGCGTTCTAACACACTATTGTTTTGTAATGAGATACATTTTCCCCTTGGATCAAATGACATGCCAACGTCCTGCAAATTCACTATGTGGAAATTCTAAATTGCAAAAAGAATACATTAGAATGATTATTTGCTACACAGAAGTTACTGAAAGAGTTATTTAAGTCCTTTTTAGTGCTAAAATTTCTATTTGCAAAATTAATACTTTACTTAACATTAACATTTACATATTGTCAGCGAACTTGTATAAAGCAAGATCCAGTTTGTGTGTGTGTGTGTGTGTGTGTGTGTGTGTGTGTATGTATGTTTTTTTGGGTAATCCTTACCTGGGGATATTTTTTTCATTTTTATATTTATTTGTGAGACAGTGAAAGGAGGGAGGGAGTGAGGGAGGGAGGGGGTGAGAGAGAGAGACATCCATGTGAGACAGACACATTGATTGGTTGCCTCCCGCATGCGCCCCAACCAGGACTGGGGATTGAACCTGGAACCCAGGTACATGCCCTTGACCAGGAATCGAACCCACTACCCTTTGGTGCTTTGGCCGATGCTGTAACCACTGAGCAACACTGACCAAGGGCCACTTTATATTTTTATTTTTGCTGAGTTTAAAAATATAAAATAAGGAAAGATAATTCTTGTTTTGTCTCCACCTTTTAAAATATGAGTAATTGGGTAATGCATCATCTTTCATCTTCTGACTCAGTGTCTCAGCATGTGAACTTGACCTTACCTCTCACGCAGCCTTTCAGCCTCTCCCAGTCTTCTAGGCTTCTGTTCTTGGCTTTCTTCACTGTGTTGTCATTGGTGGTTCACAAAGGACTTTGATTCTTTTATGCCCATAATCTTCCTTAGCCTTATCTTCATATGTGCTATCCAGTTTTCTCATTTTCTCTCAAGATACCAAGGATGGCTGTTCAAAACTGTAAATCAGTTCTGTTAAAAAGATTATGCTATTTGACTTTAGCTGCTTGACAATTTTAACCATCTCTGACTTGATTTATTACTCCCTACCACACATTTTCCAAAATCTCTAGTGGAATCTTATTCTACTTGAACTTCCACTGAAGGAATTTATATGTTCTCTTTAATGAGGGAGTGTGGAATGAACTGTTGCAGTTTCTCCACATCTCACTTGCTCTTCCCTACAAAAGGAGAAACGTATTATCTGATTGGAGGTATTGCTGGGATCATGGAATCCACAAAAAGCAACCAAGTGTGTGGTAGTGAAGTATCCAGCTCAGGAGACAGAAGACTAACTTTGCAATCCCAGATCTGTTACTTAGCCTTCAGAAGCCCCACCTTTCCCATGTGTGAAATGCGATCATACCTGTCTCTCAGAGTTGCGGTGAGGTCAACTGCTCAGCTTAAAGTAGCCACTCAAAAAATGCTAGTTATGACTGGCCGCATTAAGAGGGGACAGGGTGATCAAGCTAATGAAGCTGTGGTTCTCAGGCTAGGCTACATGTTGGAATTGCCTGGAGAATGTTAACAAATATTTGTGCCCTAGAGATTCTGATCTTGTTGGTTTGGGTCACTGCAATTTTTTAAAACTTTGTAAATGATGCCAATGGGATAGCTATATTTAAAAAAATATGCTGGAAAGCTATGTTAAAAAGCAAGAACTAGGATTCTTTCTCTCCCTGGCAGATTACTAGAAGGAGATAGTGGGCTCTGTTATGTAAATAGACCTGGCACAGCACCTGCTTTCTAGAAGCCGTTTCTCTCCTGTGCTTTCCAACACTCTCTTCTGCTGATAACTGGCTGTTTGAGCAGGGCCCCCACCAGTCACACCACTGCTGCCTGGAGATGTGTCTGAAGAGTCTGCCTGCAGACCCAATACTCCAGTGGCTGGTCTGAAGGTTCAGATTTGGTAGGAGGGAATAGATACCCTTGTTTGTTTTGGCTTCAATTCCAAATTACTTTCTCCAATCCAGTACTTTCAGGGATCCTGTAGCTGGTGTGATTAGGCCTCCATAAAGAGAGAAAACTTTGATCCCTGTCTGCTTATCGGTTCATTGCATCCCTACTCTTCTGGGTTGAACCAGTAGG